AAGGCACGCCCCTTATGCCCCTTACTGTTTGTGAGGGGTTCGCCGACCAGTCACAAAGGCACGCCCCTTATGCCCCTTACTGTTTGTGAGGGGTTTGTTGACCAGTTCCTTTCAGTCTATGTCATTAAGGCTGTCCCCTATTCCGGTGTTCTATGCAGTGTGGCCATGGCATTAAATAAGTTATTTTAAGAGTTTTGCATTTCAAGAAAATTCTTGGGAGTCTCCTTGTATAAATTTCATTTGCCATATTGTAGAATAATGTCTATAATGGATGGGACAGCAATAAAACTCCTGCAGCATTCCAGCTTTCCCAGCTGTTCCCAAGTGCTTTCTCTAGTACACCTCTTACAGACATGTCCCCCTGTATTGGAACAGGAGCTGCCCAGATAAGTTAGGGTTGAGAGACCTCTGAAGACACTTGCTACTTAGTGAGCTACAGAGCTGTCACTTTTATGAGCACCAAGCATTGGAAGTCTTGAGTGAATAGCAACATGGTCAAAGTATGCAAATACACACCAAGGGACTCAGTATCTGGCCAATAAAAGGGTGATGCATTAGTAACAGAGCTGCCTGTGCCTGCTCAAGTTACCCTTTGCTAGTGGATCATAGCAACAGTCAGCCGCACTGTTACTCGGTGGTCACTATGGAAATTCCTGGTAGTTGCCAAGTGTATGGACTTTGTTTTCCAACAGCTGAAGGATGATGCAGTTGCCCTGGTAGACGTGATCGCTCCTCCTGACTTTGTTCTGGACTCACCCATTGGCAGAGCCGACGGAGAGGTAAAGGGAGCCCCCTCTCAACTGGGCTGGAGCTGAGGGTGGGGCCACTGGAGGGCCAATTGGAGTCTGCAGAACCTGACCAGAGGGGCCAGAAGAAGTCAGGTAATCGCAGTCTGGTTCTCAGTCACACTGGCCTTGTGGCCTCAAGGACTTGCCTGCACTGCCTGCCTCTTCTTCCCAAAATGTGGTGGGAGCAACTCCCGCCTGGCAGGCTGAAGTTGAAGGTCAGCACAGGCAATGCAGCTTCTGCCCTTTCCCCTCCCAAGTGACCACCTGAGTCCTGGGTCCCACCATGTGGGCCTCTCATGCTCCATTCTTCCCTCCCCCACCCCAGATCCCCAGCTGTCTGTGCCCCTGACACTTTCCCGCTCCTATGCTTCCCTGGCAGCTCCTGCAGGGCCCCGTGTTCAGAATGCTTTCCCAGAAAGCAAGTGGAGTCAGGCTGCTGCCCTGACAAGCCCTTGGCCTCTGAGTGTTCTCCAGGCCTGTTTACCCCTTGGGAGGGAGCCCCCTCCCTCCAGCTACGTAGCTGTCCTTTCCGCACCCCTCCCCCCCAGGGCTAGTGCTTGCCTGGGGACTTTACACCTGTTCCTCCTACTGCTGTTCACTCAGCCTGAGTCAAAATGCCACCTCCTTAGAGAGGCCGCCTCCAGCTCAGGTGCTGTCTCCCAGGCATGTGTCCCTGCCCTAATCTGTTACCCTCATGGCATTGTCAGCAAACCTGCAAGTCTCCCTCCCCAAGTGGACAGGTGCGCTTGGGGTTCCTAGCATTTCTGCACCTGTATGGCTGCTGCAGGGGCATAGCATTGCAAGGTTCAGGCCACATGCATGAGGGATTTACCTCCCCCAGACCCTGCTCCTTCTGCTGAGGGTCCTGCTGAGATTGGGTTCTGCTTGATGGAGACTGGACACACATAGGAGCCTCCATCTGCTCTTGTGGGCACTGAGATTGGTAATTTAAGAGACTACACAGACTTATCCAGGGAGTGGCAGGCCCTGGCCTCACGTGGGTTGGAGTAGGTGTGCCCTGAGAGTTCCTGGTCAGAGCAGGAAAAATGGGATGGTTGCATCTAGGGAGGACCTGCTGTCCTGCAGTAGGGGGCAGTGGGTGCTGGCCATGAACATCCTCCTGGGTCCCACACAGTGTACATGATCACATCCATGATCATGTCTACTTTGCTGCTGGGGAACTGAGATCCAGAGAAGCCTAGTGGGTTGTTCACCAGGTAAACAGGTGGGCAGGCATTCAAGGAGCCCTCCCACCCCAGCACACAGGCCTATGTATCCCTCATAGAAGTGCCTCCAAGCAGACAGGAGAGCCTGTGCTCATAACAGAGAAGGACCCCTTTTGACTCTGGGCCTCACAGTTAAAACCAGAGTCAGCTGGAGGCACCCCTGGCAGTTTTAGATGTACAGTTTATAGAACGTACATCTACTTTTAAGGAACTGATGTTTTAACCAGGTGCTACCAGGTAAGAAATTCACTTTAAATGAATAAACACAGCTGTGGGAGGTTATTTGGGACGATCATCAAATGAAACCCAGTGCTCCAAGTTGTGAGATTTCACCTGGAATTTATGAGCCGTGGAGGAGCACCCTGAGTGTGTCTGTGGGAGCCAAGAATAGCATAGTGTAGGGGGAGTTGGTAAGAGTGTTTCACAGGTGCAGGCAGAGCAGCTTCCTAAGAGTAAAACTGGTCACCATCAGCAGATGTGAAATAGACCATTTCCCTGAGTTTCCGTGGACTGTGTAATCTGTGCCAGCTGCTGCCCAGCCTGAGCACTGACCCTCTGTGTCTAGAGTGGGCGAAGTGTCATTTCACAGCTGTGTTTAGTTCTTATGACCTTCTCTGAGGTAAGAGCTGCTCTCCCCTTACCCTAGTTAAGTCTGGAGTCTCAGAGAGGGAGGTTGGTGGCCTGGTGCCCAGGCTGTGTATGGCAGACATGGTGGCCCAGGATCCGGCAGCCACACAGCAAGGCCAGCCCACAAGCTGTCCCACACTGCTTGGCCATGTCTTGTCCATGCCAGTGTGAGGGGACAGATTTCAGGACAGTGTGGACCCACAGAATCCTATGGTGGCTACAGAGGGTCCATTTTCCACAGTCATTTCCAAAAACAAGAGCAAGGAGGTGATTTTCAGCATAAATGTGATTTATGGTACTTTAATAATTGAGTTTTCTAATTGTTTTCTACTTTTAAAAAATTCATATAAATTATCTTAAGTTTTTTTCTAAAAAGCAAAACAGAGAATTTACTGTGTGTGTGTGTGTGTGTGTGTGGTTTTTTTTTTGACACTATCTCACTATGTGGCCCTGAGTAGAGTACCATGGCATCACAGATCACAGCAAAGTCAAATTCTTGGACTTAAGCAATTCTCTTGCCTCAGCCTCCCAGGTAGCTGGGACTACAGGCACCTGCCACCACACCTGACTGTTTTTTTGTTGCAGTTGTTTAGCTGGCCAGGGCCGGGTTTGAATCCACCACCCTATGTGTATGTGGCCAGTGCCATAACCACTATGCTACAGGCATCAAGCCAATTTCCTGTGTTTTTAACAAAAGTTTATGTCAAAGGAGTCTCTTCATTATTCCTGCCCCTTTGCTGATGTACGTATGTATTTCTTGCAGCTCTATAAAAACCTCTGGAGCTCCATCCTTCAGGGAAGCAATGTGCTGGACAGGGCATCATGGTGGCCAGAGTTTTCCTACAACAAACCCATCATAGGAAGATTGAAATCAAAGCTGTAGTCACCCAGCCACATTTAGCTAAATCTAATGAAGCTTATTAAACTAATGAAGACAGGACATCAAATTCTAGTTCCAGAAGACACTGGGAGCCCTGCTGTTTTCTGAACACAGGCCTTTACCCTTCAGCAGCTGCTTGGCCCTCCCTGCAGAGGGCACTGGAGCGTGGTCCTGGCTGGCAGGAAGGGCCAATCTGGCACCCTGATGATTTGCTGGGTGAGAAAGAAACCTCAACGATCATGTCTTCCTCAACGATGAACTGCAAGATTTTTTAACAACTAGACTTTTGTACATTTAATTTTCAAATATAGCTACTCAATATATAGTAGACTGCTCATAATTAGGGATTTTCTCATTGGGCAATCTTTTGCGTTGACCTGAGACTTTTTATAGAGCTCTGCTTCACTGAGGAATTAGTGATTCCAGTCTGATTCTGTGTTAGCTCTACTCACACTTCATCATGTAACTGAATTATTACCTATTAATTTGCACAAAGACTGAATGACATAGTTTAAGATTTTTAAACTTAAAAATCTATTTTTAGAAATCTATTTTAATACTTTCTTTGTTGAAGTTTCTATTGAGGAAATGTTTCCAAAGAAGCTAGTAATGAATTGAATGGACAATTCAGTCTCCCAGTCACATACAGATTACTTTATATGTAATGCGTCTCTCTTAGGTGAAGTGCCCAGTGCTGTGTGTGCTCAGCAAACCCTTTCATGAATGTGGCCAGCCCACATTCTGCCACCTTTTCCACTCTGACCGTGGCCACTCTGTGTCACTGTGGGCCAGCAAAGATGTGATCCATGCTCTCTTGGGGTGGTGCCAAACCAGTGAGAACCAGTTATTTTTCCAAATAGCCCAGTGAATTGGGAGCATCTGAGGATCTGATCAATATCTCAGCTCCCAGTGCTGGCTGTCACTTACACTTTTACCTGTGGGCTCTGGAGCACCTAAGGGGTCATTCAGGCCGACCTCACTGAGCACCTCCTGAGCCCCAGCACATTGCTTGGCTCTGCAAGTTCACATCTGGTTGGCCCCTAGGGCAGCTGTGTGGGGTGGAGGTGCTGCCAGCACATTTCACAGAGGAGGAAACTGGCCAGAGAGCTGGATCACCATGTGGGCAGTCAGGGGTAGCTGAGCTGGCCTGGGGACCTCTCAGATGCCCATGAGACCCCGTCCAGGGCTGGGCCTTGCAGCAGGACATTGCTAGTCTCTATTGTCATTGTAACCCCAGTTTCATCTCACTCTAGTTTGGAGGCGTCCTTGGGTTGAAATGAAATAAACTCTTCATGGTTTTAAATGTTTCATGCCTTGTACTCCCCTCTTCCTGCTTTGGCAGAATGGGAACAAAAGAAGATATTCCAGCCCTTTGCCAGTTTAGATGGGTTGGATCTTAGTGCAAACCCAAATAAGGTGGCTGCAGGTGCCAGAGGGAGGACTCACCCCTCAGAGAAGACTCAGAGGCCCTGGGGTCCCCAGGAGAGCGGCTGGGTCTGTGTGTACATGTGCAGGCTGCTTTTCCTACATCCATAGCTCTTAGCTCAGTGAAGAGTTGGGGTGCCCGATGCCTCTTCCCAGTGGGCTCTTGCCTCATGCGCTCCCGTCCATCATTGGGAGAGTTTGGGTGTTTAGAATTTTTTTTTTTTTTTTTTTGAGACAGAGTCTCACTTTGTTGCCCTTGGTAGACTGCCATGGCATCACAGCTCACAGCAACCTCAAACTCTTGGGCTTAAGCAGTTCTCTTGCCTCAGCCTCCCAAGTAGCTGGGACCACAGGTGCCCACCACAATGCCCAGCCATTTTTTTTGTTGCAGTTGTTTAGCTGGCCTGGGCTGGGTTCAAACCTGCCACCCTTGGTGTATGTGGCTGGTGTTGTAACCACTGTGCTATGGGCACCAAGCCGGGAGAATTTGGTTCTTTATATTGAGTCATCTTTCTGTCTAAGACTATCCAATTTGTTATGTATTTATTCGTTTATATTGAGACAGTGTCTTACTATGTGGCCCTTGGTAGAGGGCCGTGGTGTCACAGCTTATAGCAACCTCAAACTCTTGGGCTTAAGTGATTCTCTTGCCTCAACCCCCTGAGTAGCTGGGACTAGAGGCACCTCAGTGCCTGGCTATTTTTTGGTTGCAATTGTCATTGTTGTTTAGCAGGCTGGGCTCAAACCCGCCACCTTCCTTGTTTTTAGTAAAAGGCTGCATGATTTGTGTGTGTTTATTTTGGTAGCCTTATTAAAGTTTTATTTAATTATTACAGCCTTTTATTGACCCTCTTTGATTTTCCTTCCATATCATTGGCAAAGAGTAATGGTCTTGCCCTTAGATCACCTGTCTAACGGCATCTGCCGGCTCTGCAGGAACAGTCTTTTGCACTGGGGCATCATTGCCTAGCTCCTGGCCTCAGGAGGTGCCTTCAGTTCACATCAGTGTGGTCTAGAACGACAGGCTCTGGGCAGAAGACCCAGCAAGAGATCTTGCTTCATGGTGGAGACAAGCATGTTCCAGTGGCTCTACCAATGGTCGGAGATCTCTGTGATTCATGGATGGAGATGCCCCAGAGCCTTCTCACCTGGGTGGGAGTGAGGACGATGCCTGCAGAGGGAGAGAACCTTCTCAGCCTGGTGTGAGTGAGAGACAAGCTGCCTGCACTAGGTGGGGTCAGCTTGGATGTTAATATCTTGACGTTGAGGTCTTGATGTTGTGTCTAAGGTTCCCAGTCCTGGTGTGATGTTGGCTCTTTCTCATTATGGGATGTGCAGGTGACAGAGCAGCCTTTGGGACTGTCAGTGTTGTACTCCTGATGGTCACTTTTCCCCACCACTGCTCATACCACCTCAAGGACTTCAGGTAGATCTAGCCCTGGGCTGCCCACAGCAGGGAGTGTCCATCCACCCTGCATTTACCAAGCACCTGACTACACCAAGCATGTGCAGGAAGAGTACATGTGATAAGGGCCCTGTCCTTATCACAAGCAGGTTCTACTGTATGTGACATCTCCCAGACTTCATGTGCAACGTGACCCACACTGAACAGGGGCCTCATCAGAAAAGTGCCCCAGCCCCAGGTCCACAGGAAGTCAGGTAGTCTTCACTTCCTTCCCCTTGTGGGGTGGACCTGTGGGCTTCCTGTCTAACTTTTGACCCCTCCCTCCCTAATAAAACCCCAGCTCTGTCAAGACTTCCCCAGTGACAGCCATGAGCCTCAGGAAGCTCAGGACTGGCCCATCTTGGCCCAAGCTTTTCCACACATTCCCTTTGACCCAGAAACTGGTTCAGTGATGGGGCAAGGGTCCTTTGGATTGAGTCTTAAAGGTGGGCTTGGGATGCCAGGGCAAGAGTGGCTTCTTGCTTTCACTGGACATTGTTGGCTGCGGAGAAGCATCTTGTTGCTTCAGCCTCATGTCCCCCATGAGCCGGAGGCTGGAGCCAACCTCCAGGGAAGGCAGTGGTACAGCTGTGGGCATCAGACCACAGAGGATGTAGCCCAGCTGCCGACTGTGGCCATAGGTCACAGGCCCCTGAATGGCCTTGGCAGATACAGCCCTTCCCCTCTGGCTCATGGTTCTAGGCAAGATAGAGAGAAGGCAACATCCTGGAATAAGGTGGAGGCATCTAGAGCAGCCTGTGCTGCATCCTCGCTCTTGGGATGGTCTTTACAATGCTGTGCTCAGGGTGGAGTGCTTCTGGGGTCTCTCAGCGCCATGTGAGCCCCTGTCCTGCCCCTCAGGGCCCAGGCTCCCCATGAATCCTGGGCTTTCACTGTCCCTGCTGCCTGTCTGGGCAGCACAGTTGCTTCGCCTGATGGTGAGGGTGCTCCATGACACTGGACTCGACCTCGAACCCTAGCAGGTGTGGGAGCCCACCTCCTCAGCACTGAAGGCATGTGACCTGGCCTTGTTGGACTCCACATGTTGATCCCCACACTCGACTCTACAGGGTGGGGACTGATTGGCCCCACAGGCCCCTGCTGACAAGCCCAGCTGGATGGCTCCTATGTAACCTAGGGAGATGGAAGATGTCTATGGTCTGGGAACCCCTTTGCGGCTCTATGCCACCCACTGTGTCCCAGGGCTGTTTCGGGTTTGCTTGTGCATTCCACTTTGTGACCACTTGCTGTCACTGCAACTCACATCAGAGGATTTCCCCTGGGCTCCGGGCTTTGATGCTGGATCCAGGAGGTCAGTGTGGCTCTGTGTGAGAACCCAGAATTCCCGGAGCTTCCAGGAATGCCCCACTGCCCCATTCCCATGCCAGTGGGAGGAACGACCTCAGACTGTCTAGCAGCTGCCCAGGACCAGGAAGTGACCCCATCTGCTCTGAGGTCTCCAGAGGAGGCTGCTTCCAGCTCTGCAGTGGACAGGGGAGCCCAGACTGGGGCTGGAAGGGAGAGAATGAGGCCACCTAAGGGCCATCCCACACTTGCTCTGAGATACACTCCCTAGGCAGCTTGGGCCTCAGCCATGGACACTTCATGGAGTGAAGTTTGTTCCACCTGTTTGGTTCACCAGCCCCATTCAAATTCTCTCAAGCCCGGAGGCAACACTTCTTGGAGCCAACTGCTTTGCAACAGAGGATGCATGTAGTCTTGCAGGCCCAAGCACTTGGGATGTGATAGCAGAGTTAAGAACACAGCATCCCTGCTGGGGGCTGTTCTTAGGTGCATTATTTCAATTTGCAAAAGTCCTTGGCATCTCTTGAAATTCTTCATTTCCAGAGCAAGGCTTCTAAAAAAAAAATTTAGTAACATTTTCCTGTGCAGTCATCCTTAAAGACCCTGGTCAGACACCTTTCTACCTGTCTCCGGGAGGCCACATGACAGCACCTGACAGGGACAGGCTTCAGAGTTAGGCCCACATTCAAATCCTAACTTGGTCACTTGCTGTGAGACCTTGGGCACATTTCTCAACTTTTCTTAATTTGTTTCCTCCTTTATAAAAAGATTTGCCTGTCAGGGCTGTGGGGGTGCATTACAGCTTGGATGTCTGTCCTCCTCAAGTCTCTTGTTGAAACTTGATGCCCAGTATTGGAGCTAGGGGCCTAATGGGAGGTACTGGGTCATTGAGTGGCTCTTATGAATAGATTAGTGCCCTCCCATATGGGCTTGCACTCACGCTCTCTCTCTCTCTCTCCCCCAACCCCCTCCCCGTGACTGAGCTTGGCATACACCCTTCACCCTCACCAGGAGCTCAGTGACACCAGGCTCTCTAAACAGTCCATGGGACCGTGAGCCACAAAGAGAGCTTTTCTTTAGGAATGACCCTCCCTCAGGTGTTCCTTTATAGAAACACAAAAAGGACTAAGACAGCACATGACAGTCTCTAAGAGTTTGGGGCCTGGGGCCCATGACTTGGATCTCAGGGGTTGAGCCCAGGAGTCTGCACCTTGGGCAGTTCTGGTACACAGTTTCAGGACCAGGCCAGTCCACCTGGATTCTGGGGAGTGAACAGAGTGGTCAATGACCCTGGAGATGGAGTGGCCACCCTGTGGCCCTTACAAAGATGCCAGTATGGTAGACGCAAGATCCCACCCTGTGCTCCGAGCCCTTGCTGATGTGTGCCCGACGCAGGCTGCTCTCACACCACCCCATCCTCCCTCCTCTTCGTGGGTCTTTTCCAGGATCAGGAGAGGGCATGGGGCATAGGATGAGCTTCATGGCTGGCTGTAGATGGGCTCTTCACCAGTCCTGGGTCTGCACAGAGGCCTGGCCTATCCAGGGCCCTGGCACATGATCTTTATAGGAGCGTCCCTCCACACCGGGCCATCTGGGCTCCTCCCTGAGCACCTGGCCCCCTCTGCACCTGCCCCACACTCCTCCCACCCCAGCCAGCAGCTTCTATGTGGGTGTGCACGTGGTGTTGGAAGCAAGATTTGCTTCCCACCTGGCATCAGGACCACAGTGGCCCATCACTGCCCCTGCCCAACAATGGCAGAAGGAATTGCCTGGGAACCACGCTGCTGTGACAGCCCCCATCTGCTGGATAGCACTGACCGGTTTGTGGCCAGTCTTCCCACCAGTTGGAAAGCTTGTAGGGGTCAGGGACCAGGTCTGAATCATCTGTGTCTCCCGCTCCCAGCAAAGGGCCACACACAGGAAAAGTGCTCAGCAGCACGGAAGGGCCAGCTGGCTGGCCGGGTGGATGGAGGGATGAACAGAGGAATGGAATGATGAGTTAATAAAGGAATGCGTTGGGTCTAGATGGTGCAGGGGAAGGAGGACCATTTTGGCCACTGAGGCTAGTGCTGGCATTTATGGGTGTGGGTTCCATCGCCCCACCAGTGTAAGGCCCATGAGTGGGCTGTACCGT